GCACCAACACTACCTTAAAGATCATATCAAACCACAGTTGAGCCTAGAAGTCGCCGCGAGTTCATCTTTAAGAGTCTGTTTTCCTGCCCTCTCTTGCGTTGTCCTTCCGGCCACAGTGGTCATTTATGAACGGTGCATGAAAAACCAAAAACGTACAGAACAATCGCCAGCATTTGGTACCGTGTTTTACTGTTTGAAGCCTCGGCTAAGCAGGAGATGAAAGGGTTTTGTCCGGTGACGGGAACAAGAAGTGATAAGACCTTTTAAAGCAGTTAAAGTTGCTGGGATGTGTCATTGACAGACTTGCACCCTCAGCAGTTTCCCGCAGCCCGGAGCATAATTTGGAGACGACTAAAAATTCACTACCTGTGCATTAAGCACACGCACACACACAGTACCTCATCGGCCTGCTCAGGCATAGTGCAGTTATATTACACCGGTTTTTCCAATATACATCCCCGCCGTCCTCTTTCCCACACCAAACGCCCCATTGCAGGCGTTAATGACTTATGCAGAGCAACCATTTAAAGAGCGCAAAGGGAGAATGATTGGTGGGGTATTTATCAACCTGTGCGCTGGGCGGCTTTGAATCCAGAGCTCAGGTGTGCGTGCCAACACTGCTCAGTGGTTCTCTCCTTTAGACCGATTGCAAATAAGACTCAAATTGAAGACGCTCATAAAATATGGCACCAAGGCACGAATTGTTAAGACTAGAATAACCTGGTGGAGAAGGGGCCTGTCAGCGGAGGGACTGAGCTACAGCTGTGTTAAGAACCACGGACCAGGGCCAGACCGACATGAAGGCCTTTTCATAACAGCCGTTGACGGTGTCTGAAAGTAGCCTCAGGGCATCTATCCTGCACCCCTCCCCACCAGCCATCCGCCCATCTGCTGTCGCTCTGCTTTTGCTCCCATTCAGGCCTGCAACCTGACAACAAAGAGAGAGATGTGTTTAGCAGGCAGGTCTTTCCCGGTTTAGCCCTCCTGTCTACTGAAGCGGAGCCGGGAAAGACACCGTGTTTGTCTCTTCTGTTTGCCGTCTCCATCGTGTTCACTCCCCTCCCGGGCTCCGTCCGCCCCCCCATCGCCCCATTTCTGTCTCTGCGCCTCTGCCAGGGGTGAGAGGGAGGGAGGTGTTGCACAAGGCCGCCTGTCCACAGGTTTAGCCACAGTGCCGGACAGGCTAAATTCTGTCAACAAGCCGCTTGGATTTGCCGCAACAAAAAGTAATGCGAGGTTTGAATGTAGGTCAAAGGGAGGAGGGCCTAATAGGGATGTACCACCAACTGTCTGCTTAATCGGTCTATACCAACTTAAAAAATTAGAAAGCCATTTTAGATTTATAGCCTATTAAGTCTCTAATTCCAAAATCTCTTGCGTAGGAATGACCATTGGCTTGTAGCCTTTTCAAGGATTGTCTCCGTTCCAGCCTCTGTTGGAAAGTTAGTTGTTGTTTTTTTTTGTTTTTTTTCTTTATCATAAGTCTGTTTCTGTAAGTTCTCCATTCCTGCCAAGGTGGCTGCATCAGAAAAAGTAGAGGATGGGTAACAAGGCAAGATGTTTTAAAGAAGTTGGGATGAGTCATTGCCAAGTCAGATGACAGGCGCAGACAGACAGGCTGCAGGAAGCAAGGCCAGCTTCACGGACAGACGGTTGTCTTGCACACAATTGATTGGGTAACCTGGGGGAAACGGACTCAGCCCACACTGCATGCAACTCTTCCCCGTCCTCCCCTTTTTGTGAGAAGTGACTGCGGCACGCCAGAAAAAGCCCGCTTTTCTCTGTTGGTTTGTTTTGATATGATTAAGTGCTGCATAAAAATAGCTTCAAGACTTTTCCAAGGTTCTCCCATTCAAGTGACCCCTGTGACGCAATTAGAGCCCGTTCTTAAACTTTATTTCAGCGCATTGCATCGGGCACAGTATCACGCCAGCTGCGCGGCCAGTGCATTGTATTTCATTAAACTTTCAAAAGAAGCCGTGTATGTTTCACCCCCACCCCTTTGACAGAAACTGGTAGCTGGAAACGGTCTGAACTGGCTAGAGGGCAGAGCGAGACGCAACAGCGGGAGCGCTTCACGCCTCACCTGCAGGTCTGTGGCGCGTCCCCCCGGCATGTCCAGGATGCGGTCGGGTTTCGGGGAGGCAGGGCCTCCGGGGCCGATTCGAAACCGGAGCCCTGACGACGCTCTGCATCTCCGCGCCGGCTGCCTGCCAAAAAAAACACGAGCCTAAGAGAAATTGGTTACTTAGCAGTGGCAGGCTGTCATTAAACCAGCATATGTTTGGTGATTAGTGTAAAAGACGGAGGCCTGAGGCAGCAGGTTTGTCGTAACATAACGGAGCAAAACCGTTAGCTTGCAGAAAACACTTCATCAACTTTTGATTTTTTGTCCTTCCACTAGAACAACCTGGGACAATAAGGTAGATTTAGAGGAGAGAGGAAGATTTAAGGAGTGGTAAGACGCCATTGATTGATGATGGTGATGATGATGATGATACAGGTGTGCCTGGTTTTATTTGACCCCAGAAAAGTGTGGAGAGTAGAGATTTGTTGACAGCCTGCCCAAACTGCAGTAACTCTGTTAGCAAGCACCACGCCGGCGTTTTAAACGCCCCGCTGCCGCTTCACAACACATAAGGCTTTCCTGCTAACTGCTGTACCACAAATCACCTCCTATCCGTTCTCTGGAAGCGCCAAGTATAGCAGCGAGCATCAGCTCATCGCTGTAGGGCTTAAACACAAACTGTCTCTTTGCTTTTATTAAATTTAATCCATTATAGCCCAAGCTGGCACTGTTTCACGTGATCCTCTGGCAGATTTTCAGCTATTGTGCTCAGCATTGTACATCAAAAATTACCTCAGGCTGCTCACAGCATCTTTGTGTTTGGCGTCTTGTTTTTTTTTCCTTTTCTTTTTTTTTTCTCGACTTTGATCTTTCCCCGTATACATAAAACGGATTTCTGTGCGAATTAAAGCCATATTTTTTCCAAAGCTGTGAAGTTTCTCCGAATTCATCTGGTTAGACCTCGCCTTTCAGAGCCAGGGGGTTATTTGTTATTCCATCAGTGACGTGGCCTGGCTGGTCTTGTATTTGTTATTTAATCATCTGTGTGCTCCTCTCTCCTCCCAGAGCTTTCCGTCAGACGAAGGGTGGCCGTTCGCCAAGTACCTGGGAGCGTGTGGGCGCGTGGTAGCCGTCAACTACGTGGGCGAGGAGCTGTGGAGCTTCTACAACGCGGCGTGGGAGAAGAGGGTGGACCTGGCGCGGCAGCTGATGGACATCGCCGAGCAGCTCACCAACAACGACTTCGACTTCGCCCTCTACCTGCTGGACGTCAGCTTCGACAACTTTGCGGTGGGCCCGCGCGACGGGAAGGTCATCGTCGTGGACGCGGAGAACGTTCTGGTGGCCGACAAAAGGCTGATCAAGCAGAGTGAGTAGCGGCCGGCATCCGCCCCCTCGCCACAAGACGGGCTCTCTCTGTGTGCGACTGAAGCCCAATGTGGTCATTTTCCCTAAAAGTGCCACATTGTTTGCTAGAATCCCCGCGTCCCACTTCCTAAAACCTCTCCACCCAACAGCTCCAGAGCTGCTGCTCAGTTTTAATGAGCAGCATGTCATTAGATTCAAATACTGACCACAGTCTGGATTCTGGAGAAATGAGGCTCTCGAGACGGCGATGAAGGTTTTTAGGAAAGGCCTCCAGGGACGGACGTCTCCAGGCAGAGCCGCACTTGCTGGAAGCCTCCTTTTTCTTCGAATCCTCTCCTCCAGCACCCCTTCTGCCTCCAACACACACACGTCCCCATCAAAGCAAAGATGGTCCGGATAATGAGCCATCTCTGCTGCCCTAGTTTTTGCCTCTCAGAATAAACCTCCTAACAAAGACTGAAAAAGCCCCACATCACACACTCGGTGAGGCTGTTTTCCCTCCCCTCAGCCCCCCTTCCTGGGGCCACTTCAGCAAAAGGGACGACCACCAAGTTAGGCTGTTGGTTTGTCCCCTCCTGCACAAATCCTATTAGTGATAAACTGCTGTGCTGCTAAGTGTTGAGGATCCACCATTGTGTGCCCTGACAGATATGAACGGTTCTTGTCAAAGAAAGGGGACTGCGTGTGTGCTTGTGGGACCAGAAGGGGCTGAATTTATCTTGAGACAGAGTTGTTGTTGTTTTTGTTTTCTTTTGGTAAATCATGACATTTAAAACCAAAAGAACACAGAATGGGGTTCAGCTAGTCAAGGAACTCCATTTTGCCTTGTAGATTTTGGTTCCCTTCACTATTTCTCTCATTGCTTTGTGGTTATAAAGGTGTGTGCTGGTGCCATGCTGAGATGCGTGTATTGATCTTCGAAACCAAATGGTCCAATTTTCCACCTTGTCACTGGAGCCCTTTACCAGAACTGAAGCGCAATCCAGGTTGAGGCTCCCTTTGTCTGGGCAACACACTTAGAGCCTGACAACTCAAGCTGCTTATCCTGGCCTCTCAGAGTATAAGCCTCAAGTTTATTTGCTTCTTTCGTGTTTGTGCGCCTCGGTGTGTTTGTGTGTGCGTGCGTGTGCCAAGCGCTGCGCCGCAGCAGGAAGGAGCAGGATGAAAGCGGTAATGAGTATTACGAGGTCACGGCAGAGCAGTGGAGAACATGGGGAAATGGGCACAGCAACTTCCCAAAGCTGCACAAACGGGGAATCCAATCCCCACAATTAGAGGCTGAGATTGAAGGCAAGCTGGAGTGCATCCCGCCAATGTCATCGGCCTGAACTGAAACCAATTGATTTGTAAATCAAACGCGTGGAAAGCCGCGGTCTGTTGCACCCTCTTGTTAGGGGCGTCCATATGCAGGCGAAAGGTTTCAGGGAGATAAAACGCATGCCATGTTCAAGCTGCGCCGTCCCCTTTGTTTGTACAGTCCAACGGTCCGAAAGGAGCCTTTCTCCATCATTGAGCTTACAGCATTTGTGGATCGTTTCACCCCTACTGCCTTTTGACAATGCATGCTGTATAATGTAAGGCACTCCTCCCCTTCCCAGACTCGATCACACCAGCATCCAGCCGCACTCGAAAAGCGCACACACACACACACACACACACACCGATTCTCCCTCTCACATTCAATAATGCACTCTAACACAGGCAAGCATTGTTAAAACCAGCCTGCTCTCTCGAATGCCACCAGTGAGGCCACGCTAACAAGTATTTTCGGGCTCTGCGTAGCCTTGTGAAGGCAGAGGAGTGAGAGGAATATACACAAGTCCAACCTGAGCCCCTTAACATGGAAGGTGCCAGTTACGCAGGAGACGAGCGAGGCTAGACAGTCGTACCTCGTCTGCGGCGCCGCTCATTTGAATTGGAAATTATTTCATTTGGTTTGCTTTGGAAATGTTCTAGCTTTGTTATTTTCGAGCCTGCAGGAAGAGAGCGACGGAGGCTGATCGAGGTACAAGGAAATAGACCTCATACTTTCCTACAGCCTTTAGTTGAGTCTCAAATTACTTTTTTGCTGCGCTCATCTTCGTCCTTGAGCACGAACCTGTTCCTCCTTTCATTTTCTTTAAAGGCACTCTGACTGCTTTGTGCATTAGTATGTCTGTTCGTCAGCGCGGGCGAAAGAGAACAGGACCCTCTCCCGGTAGCATCTGTCAATCAGTGCTGAGGTGTGATGCATGAGCAGCCGCTGAAACATTAATTGCTTTCACCTCACCTTGCTGCTTTTTGCCGCGCGTCTCTGGATGTGTTGGCGTGCGCTGGCGGCCGGCGCTCGCAGACAGATCCATCTTCATCATTCACACTGATTGAGGTTGATGCGCCCCTCCCCTTTGGCCGGCCCACAGTGGGCCCCTCGCTAACAGGGCAACGCTGGATGTTTGATTGAGTTGTTCTGATGAGCCAGAGCAGAAGTGCATTACAACGCTGATACACTGATTATGTGTTTGCATCCTCTGGGTCCACCAACGGCCCCCCCTCCCCCCCTCCAACCCCACCTTCCCCCTCACAATGATATCGATCGGCTTTTTAATACACAAACCAATAGCTGTCTCAACGTTCCAGATTTCTTTTCTTAGCTTTCTTCTTTCCAAGACCAGTCCTCTAAAGAGTAGGAAAAAAAAACGGTGTGAAGTGAGACGAAGATAGAATTCTATTTCCCCGGTAAATCAGCAAGAAGCTTCATTTGTGTCAAATGAAACGGTTGATGAGTTGTTTGGCTGTGTGCTTGGCTAAAACATTTCCTTTTAGTGTCGCCTCGTTCCTCAGCTGCCGGTAAACAGTCGTTCTCTTTAGTCTGATGTAAAGAATCGGGACATGATTTTTTTCTGACTTAAAAAAAAAAGGTGTGTTCTTATTCAGTGACTGAACCACTCACCCACCCAGTGGTGGGCAGTCGCCTCGAGCCACAGCCAACCAACGAATACCGTCTGTAACGATTAAGAAAATACTGAATGAATAATTTTTGCTGTGCAGCTTTTAACCGATGAGCATGTTTTCCCTTGCTGTGTCCGTCCCCCTGCAGACAAGCCCGAGAACTACGACGCGTGGTACGAGAGCCGCTTCGAGGAGTGCGACAGAGAGGCCTGCCTGTCGTTCTCCAAGGACTCGCTGTGCTCCAGGGTCACCGTGGACCACAACTACTACGCGGTGTGCCAGAACCTGCTGTCGCGCTACGCCACCTGGCGGGGCACCACCGGAGGCCTCCTCCACGACCCGCCGGCCCACATAGCCAAAGACGGACAGCTGGAGGCCCTGTTGGACGAGTGCACCAGACCCAAAAAGCGCTACGGCCGCTTCCAGGCGGCCAAGGAACTGCGCGAGTACCTCACACAGCTAGCTGCTGCCTCCTCCTCATCCGCCACGGCCAGGTAATAAATGGAGTCTGCGTTAGCCCGACGCACCAGGACTGGATCTGAGATCCTTTTCCCCGGACTCCTGAGACCGTGGTTCTTGTACATGATGTCATACATCCTCTTTTGTGCGCTGGAGCGTTAAGGTGTTTGGGTCTTGCATCGGGAAGTGTAAGAATCAAACACCAAAGCGGATTTATGAAAGCCCTAGCTTTTACCTTGACTTTGCTCCTTTGTTTAAAAAAAAAAGAAAAAACGAATGAAAAAAAAAAAAGCAAAAAAAGAGTGTGGCTCCTCAAAATTTCTGCAAGAACCAGAAGAGAGAAGGGATAGAGTGGTGTGCCATCTCTGGTAGTGGGGTGGGGGGGAGGAGAGAAAGGGCTCTGGTGATCCAGAGCGTCCGGCCACAGCATCACACAGCCCTGACCGCGTCCATCCACTCAACTGCTTTTATGGGCTTCTTGACATTGAACCGGAACGCCCAATTCAATTTCCTGCTACGATCTTGCGTGTTCTGTTCTGCTGGACTGAGCTGGAGTCGGCAGGTACATGTACATTGTTTTGCTGTGCATTTCTTTTCCGTAGCACTGCTGCCTGGAAGCTGAAGGTGGCATAACTCTCTTGCTGTCTCACCGTAAGGTGGGCTGTTAGGGACTGTGGGTGTAAAGGACAGGCAGGGAGTCATGGGTTTGGTTTACACAGGGAAAAATGGAAAACCCCTTAATGACTGTCTGAGCATAGTTTCGAATCAATCACTCAATTTCCAGGTTCCAGGGCTGTGGCAATCATTATTTTTTGGGCGTATTTTTTTCCCCTTTCATTTCGCTTATGTAATAGGAACCACAGAAAAAGTTGCTCATAGGAAAAAGAAGGCGACAATTGGATTTTTGTGATACAGATGTGCCTATACCAAAGAGGCTATTTGTAATAGGAACTCTTTAGTTTCACCGAGACCACATCTTTCCCTCCAGAGGTCGCTCACCAGAGCTGATAACAACAACACAGATTAATATGAGCCAATAAGACTGAAAACTGACCCCAAAGAACCCAAACCCAGTAGGATCTGCAAAAGAAAGCCTTAAAACTTGATCAAAACCATTGTATTTTGGCCCCCTAGTGTCAGTTTCTGTTAAAAAGTTTGGAATTGATGAATGAATCTCATTGTCAGATAGCTCGCTGTGCAGAATGCAATATGCTCCATAGAGTCATTGGTTATAAAAGGGAATGGAAAATGGCTTGATTTACTTTCTTGCTCCAGAAGCGGCTTCTGGCCTGCACTTTTAAATTCTGCAGCGCAGGAATTTCTGTTTAAATATTTCAATGCTTCGCACCACTTAGAGGTTGGGATGATTCTACACTCAGTGGACCAACAAATAAAAGGATAATCACTAACATAGGCTCTTTTTAGTTATGCATTATGAGAGATGTTCCTTAAGTAACTTGATAAAAAAAAGAGAAAAATCCCATCTCTGGCTTCATATGTTTTTGTACTGTTTTCGATGTTGTGAATCAAACGCTAAAAGCCCAGTGGAGTGTTTTGTAGCGCAGGTAATAAAAGAATAAACTAGTAAATGAGCCACTCCCATCTACGGGGGAACTGGGAGCACATTAGTTGCTTTTTTTTTTTCTTTTTCTTTTTTTTCTTTCCTAAGTTTTCTGTGTGACCTGCAGGGCTGATGTGACCTTTGCCAGCTAGGAAAAGCAATAAAAACAAGTTTGGCTAATGAACTTCTGAGTTTTGAACCCACGTCCTTTGTTGTGTCGGATACATTTGTTTCCTCCGGACGGAGGACGGTCAGCCTGGAGGGGATTTGTCCATGTGTAACTGTCCAATTTTGTACTGTAAGTTTTCCTTTCGAGTATTATATCAGCGGTGTCTGATTTTTTCCTGTGCCTTTCATTCAAAAGTTGTATTTACAACTTTTAGTGGGATTAAATATTAAAATAAATGAAGATATATATATATATATAGATATATATACACTTAAACTATGTGTGGACTCTTCTTGATTCTGTCTCTTCTTAATCTTCTCTCACTTATTTCCACTCAGTTGCAGTCAGTTTGGCTGGGTTTCAGTTCATGTTTTAAAATCTGATTCATAGTGGCACAGCTGGATGTCAGCGTTTGCCAAGTCCTCTTCCTTTTTTCTCTCCTTCCTCCTTCTTGGTTTTGATCTTTCATATCTTCATCTTTCCTTTAATTTAGATTCCAGCCTGAGCTGTCTTTTGTAGTGCTCGACTAGGACGCCTCATCCCTTATCCATATTTGAGTTGTTGGAAGTGTTGACTTTGATTGTGCACGACACTTTCCTCTTTTCTTTTCTTTTATTTTGCCTTTACGCAAAATTGGATTAAATTCAACAAGCCGACAATTGGGTGGTGGTTGTGGTGGGGGAAGGGGGTCTTTACGTCGAACGGGGCGAGACGAACGCTGTGGCGTGTGATTTTGGTGCGTGTGATCATTGCTTATTCAACAGCTTGCCGTCTCTAGTCGCTCTTGTACCCTGAAAGCCTGCGGTGGAACTAAGTGGCACTACAGCCAGAACCAAAATTAGAAGCTCCATCACTGACACTCTTTTGCAACTGTTTCACTTCTTTCTTTTTTCTTTTTTTCCCCCTCTGGTCTCACTCCTCCCGGTCACCTCTTCCCTTCCCCTCCCCTGTAATTGTGCTCCTCTTTGATACGCCCCCTGGTTTGTGTGCAGAGCTGATGTCGCGCTCGTGGTGGTGGAGTGCCCGTTTAGGCCTGCGCGTGCTGGCGGCTCTCAGCCCGGCTGATGAACGGAAAGAGGCTGCAGAAAAGCGGAAGCAGGCGGCGGGGGACTCGGCTTTAGCAAACAGGTTTAGACGAACAGGAGGCCGTTCCAAGGCACGGCCGGTAGGGGTTTTTAACGCGTTGGACAGAGAGAAAGAATAAAGAAATGGTAGCTAAAGTGGGGGGGGGGGTTGAGAGAAAAGGGGAAAAAAAAAAAAAACATGGTTGAGGAGGAAGAGGAACCGGAAATTGCAGCTAATAGAACCGGCGAAATATCTCAGCTGAATTATGCAGTTTGCTGCAAGCCAAGTTTGCTCGCTTAAATTGCTGTCTAAAGTTGTCAAAGCTAAAATAGAAGCGGGAGCGGCTTACTTATGCGTGCAGCTTTGCAGTCACTACCTAGCAGGCATGGAGGAAGCCGTTAGAATTCATCTGCCCGCACTCTGGAGGGTGGGCAGCAGCGCAGGCATGCTGCTGAGATAACCGACCCATGGGTCATGTGACCACCTTTTGCCGCCTTTTCATGAATCCACAGCATTTTGACGTGTGCCCCCCCCTCCCCGAATTCCATCTTATCAGACTGGTGGGAGTCTGAAAGGCAGACCGAGGTGGGGGGGGGGTTTAATATGCCGCCATATTATCTAAATCTCTACATGACTTTAGCCTCGCCTGTCGGTTTCGAAACTGCTGATATCTTATTCAGGTCATCGACCGTGAGAACGAAGAGCAGAGCGGGAGCAGCGCCATATGTTTGATTACGGCAACAAAGGGGAATGAAAAACGAGCTGGAAAAAAAAAAAAAACACGTTTCCTGGTTGCGGGTGCTCGGGTAAAGTGATGTAAAGTCTATTTCATGCTCTGGCGAGCCTCGGGGACAGGCAGCCATTTTTAGAACCAGACTGACCCATATTCTTTTTTTAAAGGGGTTGAGGGGACAGATTTGCTGAGTGTTAAGGCTGTGTTGTGAATAGGAGAGTGCGAGGCTGTGTGAGGGAGCACGTGGCCCGTTGTTTTGGGGCTTTTCCGGGTCTGGCTGGGGCTCAGGAGAAGGCTCTGAAGACTCTTTGTGAGCGCCTCCTGGAAAATCATCACTAATGCAACACAGGAGTTGCTAGAAGCAATGTTCCTGTCAGGCCGCTTACATCTCTTCAACATGGCCGTGTCGCGCTGCCATCTATTATATCTCATTTGTAGAGTGCTCCGATGCTTTTCCCCCTTCCTTTATTTTATTTCTAAATGCCGTGAAACACTTTGGTCCAACATCAACTGCTGTTTGTGTGCGCGACAAGAAAGCCAAAGAAAGCCGTTTTAACTACATTTTCTGCTTAATTTCAAATGAGATGCACGCAAAGATTACATTTACAGAATATAAGATGGTTGTTTAATTGCGTTTGAGAACCGCATTTTTACAGAAGCTCCTAAAAAAAGACGAGTTTAAAAAAAAAAAAAAAAAAAGGAAATGCATTTACAAAACTTTTTTTGTTTTGTCCCTTTTTTGTTTCGTGGGCTTTCTGAGCTCTTCTCTCTTCTGTTTGCCGTCTTTTGCACCTCTGGGCGGCTGTCATCTGAGCTCTGCTCTGCGATCAGGGCTTCCAAGTGGAGTTCCTCCTCCCGCTGTGCAGTTTTACCATCAAAAAGGGACGAATGAGCGTTTGCTGCCACGGCTCCTCTTTTCTCCATGACCTTTTTGAATAAAATCTTTTTTTTAAAAATCATAATAACCCCACTTTCCAAGTGCATTACAATTATTTGAATGCTAATTAAAATTGTGCCAGCTAGAGAAGAGGTCTCGCAATCAGCACTTTGATTTGGATGTTTTCAAAAGTACTTAAGACAACCAACAGAGCTCCAATCATGAGCCCAAATGTATAACAGGAGGAGGGGGAGGGGGAAGGGGGCAGAATTACTCTATTTATTCAAAACAAAAGAAATCTCTCTGAAATTTCATTTTTAACAAAAGTCAGCTGAGAGAAGCTGCTTTCACAAAGAGAACGAAAAAAGAGGGCTCGGGAAAAACTGCAGCTTGTAATTACAAGGCTTCACTTTTTACAGTGATTGAAAAACATCATTGGTTGTTTACTTGGTTTGCGGGCCAGATCAGGAACCCTCCGCAGAATCTGTCTCCCGTTGAGTGAATTAAAAGCTCACAGAGGCTGAACCGGAGCAGAGCAGGTCTTTAAGCACAGCTCTCTTCCCCCCCCCCCCCGACCTTTAATTGTTATTCGCCTAGTCTCCCTGGTTGTGTAAAGGTTTTAACGTCCTTCCTTTTTCCACCTTCTAACTCACCTCCTGTCATTGTCCTGGTGCCACACACATGATTATTCCCACCTAAAGACCCACAACAGATCGGGCCTCCCGGTCCCTGCCTGCTAGAGAAGAGGTCATGGCCACTATCGGGGGGGGGCTTATCTGGGACTAGAGACCACAATCCTATTACCCACCCGTGCAGCAGTTTAGATGCACATTATCATTTGCCTCGGAGGGACTTGCTTGGATGAATGAGGAACTCTGCAGCCCTCATCTCCCTGGACACATTAGTTGACACCCAGGGCAGGGATGATACGAATCATTTATTCAGCAAGCTAACCCGCCAAAGTTTGCATTCACTCTCACCAAACACAACACGACCGCCACTGTTCACACAGATCGGTAGCAGCGTTCAAGCTGGCGCCAACTGCACATCGCAGCCCAATGAATCATATCCTGATGTGCACATCTGTTCAAAATCGATGCTTTTCCTCGGTGCTTCTTTCTTTTTTTTTCTTTTTTTTCCCATGCCGTCTGCAGGGAGCACCGAGTTATTTTGTTCTTTAAATCTTATCACTTGCCATATGGCGCGCTGTGAGTCAGACAAGATGTAATAAGTGTTTAGCAAGTCAGAGATGACACTAGGTGGCATTTGCACCGATTGTGATAACCGCTCACGGCTCCTTCGCCCAGGCAGGGTGCAGAGCGTCGGCAGAAGGACGTCATCCCTGTTGCCACCGCCGACAGGAACAGACAGAACGCATCATCTACACACATCATCTACACACATCTCTACGTTGCAACGGTAGAAAATCCTGTAATCCACTGTTGCGTTTGGCCCACCAGGTTAAAATGAGCTCCCCCTTTCCAGAATGCGAAGAGCACAGCGAATCTGTGAAGTCCTCAGAGCGAGGCCCTCCCTCTCCTCGGGATGCATTTACTCCTCCATGACCTGGCATGGCAACGCTGCTGTGCCTGTAAAAAGCAGCACTAAAGTCTTTGGTGCTTTTTCACATCTGCCCCGCAGGCTGTGGCACAACTGCAGCCCGACACATTCCGGAGGCGTCCATCACTTAGTGACGCTTGAGTGGACAAAATGGACCGTTTTTCTCTATCCCTTTACCTCATTGAGTGACACCCCACCAAAGCTGATGGCACACGGGGAACGTTTCCCCCCCTCAGTTGTCATTCTGTTGTGCATTGTTTCACCCAGAGCTAACTTTCCAATTAAGCAAGTTAATTAGGATCAGTGGGGAAAAACATGCACGCTTTCTTGTTTTTATAAGGCTAAGTATTTATTTGATTACTATATTTCCCCACTTACAGGTGCAGGATTGATGAAAAGTAGATTACGGTTATTCCATCTTTTACATTTGATTGGAAGCACCACAGGAATTAATATCTCACAGACGGTGCTCGAGTAAACACAAGACTTTTACACCGCTTTCAGGGTTGACGGTGAGCAATGAGGTAGTGTTTTTTCTTTCTTTAGGTTTAAATTAATGCTGAAGATAATTTGTACTCAAATGTAACAATCATACCAAAGAGCTTCAGCCTCGTTATACAGGTCTTTTGCTGTATTTCTTATAAAAATCACCACAGTGTGACCACCGTGGTTTGATATTTTTCTTGAAAAGAAAGAACCAGGGAGATGTCTGGAGAAAAGGCGAAAATCCATTCAGAGGCTGTGGTGTCCATCTGCTGAGGTCAGCCGTGCAGCTGTTCTCTGCAGCCCGCTCTCCCCTCCAGCCATCACCTACCCACCAGCCAGTCTGGGTGAGTTGCAGGATGCGGCGCAGATGTGAACTAGCATGTAGCGCACGTTTGTGGCATGCCACTGTGCTGACAGAGACTTCAAACAGATCTGTTAGCGCCCCGCAGAGGGATTCGCCAGACGTCAGAGCAGCCAACGAGGATCGACAGACAATTATTTCCACAGTTTCCCTACTCAGC